CTGACCCACCGCCAAACTGGTCATGCTAGATGATGTTACAGGCAGCATAACGTTCACTATAACGTCTCCAGACTCTTTCATGCCTGTCACATGTGTTTAGTTTGAACCTGCTCTCATCTGTGAAGAGAACAGGGCACCAGTGTTGGACCTGCAAATCCTGGTGTTCTCTGGTGAATGCCAATAGAGTTGCACGGTGCTGGGCTGTGAGCACAGGTCCCACTAGAGGATGTCTGGCCCTCATGCGACCCTCATGGGGTCTGTTTCTGACAGTTAAGTTAGAAACATGCACACCAGTAGCCTGCTGGAGGTCATTTTGTAGGGCTCTGGCGGTGCTCCTCCTGCTTCTCCTCACACAAAGGATCAGATACCGGTCCTGCTGCTGGGTTGATGCCCTTCTACAGCCCTGTCCAGCTCTCCTCATGAAATGACCGGTCTCCTGGTGTCTCCTCCATGCTCTTGAGACTGCAACCACACCTATGGATGTGCCATCCCGGAGGAGCTGGACTACCTGTGCAACCTGATTGGGCTGCAGGTACTGCCTCATGCTACCAGTAGTGACAAGGACACTAGCAGATCACAAAACTAGAGAAGAATCAGTCAGGAAAGATAAGGGGAAAGCAACTGGAACAGCATTACCTTTTTGGGTGTTGTCTTGCTTTTGCCTCTTCTTTGCACCTGTTGTCACTTTGATTTGCACCAAAGCAGGTGAAACTGGTTCACAATCACTTGTGCCTCCTAAATGAACAGATTGATATCCCTGTTCAACTGACTTGGTGTTTTACTGTGACCACTAAGTGTTACCTTAACTTTTTGAGCAGTGTAGTTAAAGGCCACCTATTATAATCACAGCTAAATAGAGTAGGCTTGAAACAAAGGAATATGCAATGCAGTATGACAAGATTAATATAGCAGGCTTTGCAAAAATAAGATCATAAACCTTTATTTGCCAAGGCCAGATAATCAAACTTTGAAACTGGTGTTGCTCCGAGACAATTTCTCTTCATTAGTATGTTTACTCTCTGCTGGTGAGGAGGTGCACAACTCTGGAAACTTGAACAACAGTAAAATCAGCTCCTGTATTGTTTCCAACAGTTTGGCAGCAGTAGCAAATGCACAACGACTGAAAGCACCTCAACTCCTTTGCTGTTGACTTCTTAGACTCAACAGAGGCAAAAGCAAGCAGCCACACAAGCTTCCAGCTCTTGATGTCAGCATGTGACTACCAGTATCAAAACTTCACCTCCGGGTAGAGAGGATAGAGAGAAAATAAGTTCTACAACTTATCAACAGTTTCTTGACAGAGCTGAGAAGTTACGAGACGATCAACAGGTTTTGCTTTTCTCCAGTCTTTGTCTCATGTCAAAAACTGGAGACCCTCACTGACATATGCATCCAGTGACGAGGGGCTTCAAGTAGACATGGCTTCATCTTTAAGGAATACTCAGCCCCCCAAAATGCTACATTGATTTCCTGAAGAAAATGTTTTCTTGCACGCCTTCAGTGAACGATGAATCCAAAAACAGAGAAGATTCATGATGAATTGAAGTCACAGAATTCACTATAACAAAACATCTGTTCACAAACTCTCACACAATTCTTTCAGTATAATCCAAGTCTCATTTATCCAGGGCACGCTACTCATGTGCAAAAGTCTTTTACATTGTATGGTTTTCGTGAAAAAATATATTGGTTTGGGAAGTACTGAGCATGCGACTGGATAAATGTGGCTTAAATTATACTGCAAGAGGTGTGTGAGAGTTTGTAAATGGCTGTTTTGATATAGTTTTGCTGTTGGTTATAGCTGTCCCCCTGTGACTTTAATTCATATATAATTTTCAGTATTTTTGGATTTTTCATTCATGGCAGCGGAGGCATATGAGAAAAACAAAGATTTCTTCAAGAATTTATTGAAGAACACTGGGTGAGTTATTGACATACTAATGGTCACAAGCCAAAATGTTAATAAGCATTTATGAAAATAACCTTTTGTCATGTTAAGTGCTATATCGTAGGCAATTGGACTTGCTTGAAGACGTTTCACCTCTCATCCAGTCGGATTTGAGTTCAAATGGACTGGCCATTTGAACTCAAATCCGTTGGAAACTCAAGCAACTAAAGCAAGTCCAATTGCCTACGATATAGCATTTAAGATTACCATGACCTGGATGACTAAGAATCTTCACCAACAACCTGTTGTCATGTTTGCTGAAACTCTCATTACATCCACATAGAAGAACATAAGACAAAATCATGTCCCTTCTTCTTTTGCTACTGTTTCTAATGGCATTTGCTTGATTCTGCCATGGCTGAAGGCAAACAACCAATCGGAGCAGAGGAGTCTTTAATGCAGCTGTCAATTATCCCAGTCACTGCTTGTCAAACTAGGCAGAGCTGATCAAATATAAAGTAAGATTCTGGTACTGCTTTGTGTATTTCTACAGAAGCACAGAACTGCCAGGCCATAAAAAATGACCGGTATCAGGTAATGACGTGAAAAGTTTTTCAAGTTTTTACAAGATATTTTCATTTTATAACAAGAAACGTATCTTTTTATACCAACGAAAGTTTCTTTCTTTTTATTTTTTACAACAAACTTGTTATAACAAGTTAAATTTCTTGTTATAACAAGAAAATATCTTGTAAAACCAATGAAAAAAGAAATATTTTGTAAGTGCAAGAAACTTTTTATGTTATTACCTGATATGTTGACAATAATAACACTAAAAAAAATCAACTTTTTTTTGGTGCTATTTTGTGTTGTTTGCCTGTTTTGTTGTTGATTGCTGAATATGATGTGCTGATAAAAGGGCAGGTGTTATAAGCTGCAGCTTCTTCTCAGCTTCTTTCTCACCCTGCCATTCACTCCTTGCAGGTATGCTCACTCACTACCTCTAGGTGTCGTTGTCTGGGTCTGTCATCAGCTGTTTTCTAGCTGATTTACAATCAACCAATAGCACAGCGACACACCTTCTCTGTCAGCCTATCATCTTACTGCTCCTCATTATAAATATGGTTCTTTCTCTTCTGTAGTTCTTTCTCGCTGCCGTTGTGTGCACCCTCCATCTCCTGATTACCACCTAGTCTTTACGGATTCATCAGCCTCATCTGCCTCAGAGTCAGCAGCCACCACCAACAGTGTCTGGAGTCCATGGGGGGATTTATCTTACTGCCACTCAGATGTCCCTCGATCACAAAATATCTCCCTTTGGTGTCCAAGCCCCAAAGACCTCTGTTAAATCGTAATCGGCATAAATCATCTGTTAATGTGCACACTCATATTCTGTAATAAATATCATCTTTACTTCGTTCTTCTGTCTCTCCTGATTTAACTATAATTCCTCACCTCAAATGTTTTAAGAAATGTTAGTGTACTGTTTGCCTGTGAAACAACAAAGTTTGTGACCTGGCCACCATGTTGTACCAAAGTACCAAGCCCTGCCAACCAGCTGGAGCAAACTTTCTCTTTTACAGCTAAACAGTACACTAAAATATGTTTCAGAAAATACTTCAGATGAGAAAAAGACAAGGCAGTAACAGAATCTTGACTCGTTTTTGATCAGCGCTGCCTTGTTTGACAGTTTCATTGCAGTTCATGAGCAGCGATGACAGCTGTGCTAGAGAGTTCTCTGCTCTGATTGGCTGCTTTCAATCATATGTGGTAATGCTATCAGAAGCAATTTAAGACTGCAGAGGAAGATTTATTTTTTTTGCCACATTATCTAATGTGTTGCTGTGTGATGACACCTTGTCAGTAGGGCTGTGCATCTTCACTGGTCTCCCGATTCGATTCGATTACGATTATCCTGTTAACGATTCGATTCAATTCGATTCCACGATGCATCACGATGCATCACGATGCACTGCATTCTTAATTTCCTATATTACTGAGCATGGTTACTTTTTTAATCAATTAATACAAGCAGTCAGATAAATATGAACTCCCTTCTTTATTAGAAAGTGCTTCAGGATTACCGGTAAGTAACATCGATGTCTTAATAAACCAAAATAAATGAATTAAATTAAATAAAACAAATACTTCTGCAGGCCAGCTGCAACCTTTAGCAACTGTCCTATACTCAAAAAAGGACACTGAATGTCTTGAATGTGGCAAGCATCAGAAATATGACTTGAGTCTGAACAAAGCAAGCAACAGCAGTATTTCTAACAGTAAATACTAAAATAGCATCAATAAAGCACAGTGTACTTCTTCTTCAAAAACATAAATAACATAAACACAAATAACATAAATGTCAATGTATGAACAGCAAATTAGGCTTTAAACCAAAATAAATTGTAGAGGCCTAGTAGCCAACTACCTATAATCTTTGTGTGAAAATGGTCATCCTCCCTAAACCACACATAAATCTGTCTTCTACTGTAAAACAGGGTACTTCCTGAATGTGGCAAACATCACAATGTGTCTGAACACAACAAACCACAGGTAGCAATGAACTACTAGTTTATACAGTGTAGTGTACTGTTTTATGATATCAAAAATGTTAACAGAAGCTCCTAATATTAAATCCAATTGTAAACTGAAATAAAGAGTATAGGCCTAGCCTACCCATTGTGTGGAAATGGTCAATCCTCAAAAACAAAGCATTCTAGTGCTGTAATCTACAAAAAGGTTTTCAAATAGCAGCACTGGACACAGGGCACTTCCTGAATGTGCCAAATATCACAAACATGGCTCACTGATCAGCATTTGGGAATTTGTAGGTTCTTCTGTAAGAACACCAGTTGATCCACATGTTCTGGCTTGAGAGCACTTCTCTTTGCAGTGACAACATCTCCTGCAGTGGAGAAAACTCGCTCTGCAGACACGCTTGTGCCTGGGATACACAAGTACCGCTTTGACAGCTGAGAGAGGAGGGGAAATGTGACCTCCTGGACACGCCACCAGTTTAAAGGATCCTCAGTTAGAGGGAGAGCTGGGGCTTTACAGTATCTCTCCATTTCCTCTTCAGCCCTGGCATAGGGGGTCTTTGGTTCTACTGTACCTTCAGTGTCAGTGAAGGACTGTCCCAGCAAACTCACAAGCAGTGATGATGGGGCCTTTCTTTTGGGAGCAGAGGGGCTGTCCTCTGTGGGTCTCTCTTCTTCCAGAGTCCCCATTCCCCCAGGCGCTTCATCCACTTCTGTCCTCCTGAGTGTCCTCTCATTCTTGGTTTGAACAAAAGAACACAAAAAAGAAAATTGCATTAAACTAACAGTTAGCACTTATTCTGTCAAGCTCACATTTATTAGGATATTTTTTTTCTGTCTTATAAAAACTTTCACTCTTTGTAACTACTATTAATACTATTATGAGCATTTTAAGTTTGTTTTAATAAATTTTACATGAAACCTGGTAAAATTACCTCCAAAGATGCAGCCTCCTCGGTCACTCCTCTGTAGATCTCCAGTCTCTCCTCCTCTGTTAGAAAGGGCAGTCCCTTAAAACGGGGATCCAGGGCAGAGGCTGTATGAAGGATCTTCTTCTCTGCCTCACTGTTGTACCTCTTCAGGAGATCTGTCTTGATGGCATTCTTGATCTCGTGGATCATGGGTGAGTCTCCGATGGTGTCTGTCATGTTCTGGAGAAGCTGTGCATGTATTGGAGCAATGAGAGACACTGTTGGGTTGCTCTCTTCTGACATCAGTGTGGTTGCATCCTTCATTGGCTTTAATGCACTCACAGCGTCCTCTGCATTTGACACATCTGTTTCATTGAGAGTGCAGAGGTCTGACTGTCCTCTCCTCACCTCTGGAGACAGCAAGGTGGCACAGATTGCAGGTTGTTGCTCCAAGAACCTCTCGACCATGTCGTATGCACTGTTCCACCTTGTGGCAACATCAGTTAGCAGCTTATGATTTTTCAGGCCCAGACATTTCTGTTTCACTTTCAAAGTGTGGTTCGCTATAGTGCTGCGGTGGAAGAATGTTGTTATCCGTTGCACTCTGCCCAGAAGCCTGGAGAGCGTGGACACCTGAAGCGCCCTCTGGGACGCGAGATTCAGCGTATGGGCAAAGCATTTCACATGAGGGAATTTTCCGACTTGAGCTGCAACAATCATATTAGACGCGTTGTCTGTCACCAGCACTACATCTTTCTCTGACAGCTGCCATTCTTCCACAACATGAGACAGCAGCTCGGCCAGATGAGCACCTGTGTGAGACTCGTACACGGCTCTCGTTTGCAGCACGTGCGACAAAATCTGCCAGTCCTCGTTAACGTAATGCACCGTTACTGTTAAATAAGACTCGGTCGCAACAGACGTCCAGGAATCACATGTTATGGCTACTCGACTAGCTTGGCTCATTGACGCCATTACCTGGCCTTTAGTTTCATTGTAGAGTGCAGGTATGACTTTGTCTGTGAAGTGGCTACGTGAAGGAAGCTTATACCGTGGCTCCAGCGTCTTCAACAGGTGGCGAAACCCGGAGTTTTCCACAACCGAATAAGGCCGTAGATCCTTAGCTATGAAAGCCGCCACAGACTGGGTGATTCTTTTAGCTTTCTCAGCATTCGGCGGCAAAATTGACAGTTTTTCATCAATTCTTGGCTGAGCTGGATCCGGTCTTTCCTTCACGGTGGCAGGCGTTAGCTTCTCGGAGTGAAAACGGCTAACGTGATTCCTCAAGTTAGTTGTATTTCCAAGATATTTAATTTTTGTGTGACAAACTTTACACACAGCGTGCGTCTTGTCCAGTTCGTGCTTCCCGGTAATTTCATAAAATCCGAAATGTGCCCAGATGTCCGCTTTCAAAATACTAGGTGTGTTTTTTATTACTGGCTCTCGATGAGTTTCGTCTGCCTTCGCCATATTGCACTGATGTTGTTCTCCCACAATTCAATGCGATGTTACTATGACGACGTTATTTTGAAATCGACAACTTTATTAACCAGTCGCGACCGAAAAATCAAGCAGCAACGTGAGGATGCTATAATCGATTATGCTCAGTCAGTGCATCGATGCACAATCGTCCATATCCGCATCGCGATGCATCGTAGAAATGATTAATTTCAACACCCCTACTTGTCAGGGAGGTGGTCTCTCTACTATATGGTATTTTTTGTGTTACTGTTATGTGGGATTGGTTTATGGTGGAACTGACGTTAATTTAGATAAATGCCATCTACACATACATATGCATTTTTGTAAATTCCTGTTCGTTATTAAACATACTTTATATGTATGTTATGCAAAACTGGCAGATTTTTTTCATCTCCATGTCATATATTTTCTTTAAGTTGTATCCTATGTGCCCAAACTTATAGCCCTCGTTCTGTATAATGACACACACACACACACACACACACACTCACACACAGCCAGATGGACTTTCTGGCAGTTTCTACCTTGTCTCCATCCACGAAGGTCTGGCCGTCGCTGGCTCTCCTCCAGGAAATATCGGGCAGAGGCTCGCCCTCAGCCACACAGGAGATCATGGCGGCGCTGCCCTCTACGGCTGTCACGTTTTTCAGCTGGGTGATATGGGGCTGGACTGGAGGCCACAAGAGGACGAGGGGGGAGGAGGAGGTGAATAAGAGAAAGAAATTAGATAAGTGAGTGAAGAAGAAGAATAGATTGAAAGGCAGGGGGAAGGAGGTGTGAGGGAGGAGGGAGGTCTGAGTAAGTAAAAGGGTGAGCGGGAGAGAAACTGTCAAAGATCTAACTCATAAGGGAGGGGAGATGAAGGCTATACCACGGGGGTTTAAACACAGAGCTGATGCATGACTTTGGTGCTGACAGTCTAGGCCAAGATCATTTATACACTGCAGTCGTACTCCACAGTTTGGGCATAGCGGGAAAGCATGCCCTCTGGCCTATTTTGTGCAGATGCCTTGGCCTAGATGACAACACAAAAACTGACTTTGCTGAAGTTTTAAAGCACAAAACATATAAAAGCGCCCCTCCTCCTGTGTGTGTTCCACCTTTTTAGTTTTAAATAAATATAGATTTTTGTCTGGAAAGAGGCCTCTCCAGCACCGTGTGAGTCGCACCATGATAAGTGCTGCAAAGCGTGCCGTTAGGGGCTGCTCCCCGCTCGCCACCTCCTGATAAGATGCTCTAAGCAAGCCCTGGAACACCACGCATGTCAAGGGCACAGTGCATGTCACATGAATCATGGATCCCCTCAACACACACACACACACACACACACACACACACACACACACACTGCACTTAAGTCCTTAACAGGGTGCTTGCAAGGTAGCATGGCATAAAATCCAAAAGGAAAAGAGTAGTGAATGGAAAATAGCGACTACTGTAGTGAAGGCTTTTAACACCACCCAGGGGGGATCTAAGGAGTGTTTGGCAATTTCACATGGCTTCAACCTCGGGGTGGAGGAGCCATCTCTGGGGATTCTGGGAGCTTGTCAAAACATGGGGTCACACAAGCATACAAACAGGCACACACACACACACACACACACACACACCTGCAAGGACCTCCAGTGAATAAATCAATGCCCTAAGAATGGAGCCTTACCTAACCACAGGGTTAAAGATACCTTTGAAGCTATGAAGAACTTGGCTTCCTTAAAAATCTCATTTCAGAAATTTAGTACAGGCTCTAAAATATTTTTGGTGGTTTATTTCTGCTTTAAGTGATATTTTCCTGTATATTAAAGTGACAGTTCAGGTTTTTGGACATGAAGTTGTGTGAAACGCTGACCATCTGTAGCTCTGATGTGACGGTGTCACTACTCTCAACAAGCCTCCTGCTCTGAGAAATGGCCCGTAGCTTACCGGAGAAAAAGTAGTTCTGAAGATGTACGGGGGACACGTAACCAAAAGGTTTTAAGCTACAAAAAAGTATGCATATGTTTTGTTAGACTATTTCAATAATTTTAAAACATCCCCGCATTACGTCAGACCTTGCTATCAAGTGGGACTATTTTCTGGCCAGTATCACTCCGCCGTGCAGGCCTGCAAGACAGCACGGCAACAGAAATCAATTAGACAGTTCATCACCACGCCGTGCAGGTGCGCAGGATAGCAACGGCTAACGAAAACTTCATCGGCTGTTTCCAACAGAGAACCAGTAGGCTATTATTAGTGAGGAAAAACATGTACTAGCCTTATATATACCTACTACTACAGCGCAAAAACCGGCCCAGGCTCATGACACACCCTCGTCAGCTGCTGTAGGTAAACAGAGGAATACCAAAATGGTGCCAACAGCTGTGGGAATAAAAACATCGCCGGCTCCCAATTCCATCGGTTTCCTGTTAAAGATGTAACCCTTAGGCAACTTTGGCTTGTGTCAATTGGGATGAACCTTGCTACCAAGCCGGCAAGGGTGAAGCAACTGCGCTTATGTCAGGCTCACTTCAGCTGCCCACAGATCCTGACGGAGAGAGAAAACGCAATTTCCGCACTGCTGTGTCCAAAGAGAGATATATTACCTAATACCAGTCTATATAACGATGTCTGTAACTGATTGTCTGTAAAACAAAATGTTTGATTGAACTAATAGTCTGTTGTGTTGTGGAGAGTACATTATACGCAGCCTCGTTTTACCGTCGGCATTTACTTTATTATATTAGGCTAACTGCTAAATCCGTGACACGAGTAATCAATCACATAGAAATATGAATTCATATGTGATTACGACCAGTCTCTGCTTTGTTCTGATGGTGGGTTAGCCAAAGTTGCCTACGGGTTACATTTGTAACAGGAAACCGATGGAATTGGGAGCCGGCAATGTTTTTATTCCCACAGCTGGGGAAATCACAAGTTCGCACCATTTTGGTATTCCTCTGTTTACCTATAGCAGCTGACGAGGGTGTGTCGTGAGCCTGAGCCGGTGTTTGCGCTGTAGTAGTAGGTATATATAGGGCTAGTACATCTTTTTCCTCACTAATAATAGCCTACTGGTTCTCTGTTGGAAACAGCCGATGAAGTTTTCGTTAGCCGTTGCTATCCTGCGCACCTGCATGGCGTGGTGATGAACTGTCTAATTGATTTCTGTTGCCGTGCTGTCCTGCAGGCCTGCACGGCGGAGTGATACTGGCCAGAAAATAGTCCCAATTGATAGCAAGGTCTGACTTAATGCGGGGATGTTTTAAAATTATTGAAATAGTCTAACAAAACATATGCATACTTTTTTGTAGCTTAAAACCTTTTGGTTACGTGTCCCCCGTACATCTTCAGAACTACTTTTTCTCTGGTAAGCTACGGGCCATTTCTCAGAGCAGGAGGCTCGTTGAGAGTAGTTACACCGTCACATCAGAGCTACAGATGGTCAGTGTTTCACACAACTTCATGTCCAAAAACCTGAACTATCACTTTAAGGTTCCTGAAATAAACAATAGGCTTAAAGTAAAGCACTTGTCATTGTGCATTGAATGTTTTACTTACAAACACAGAGGGAAATGTATCAGACTCTTGTTAAAAAAGGTCCTCTTTTGTTGCAGCAAACAGTGCTAGAAATGTCCCAAACCCTTGTTGAAAAAAAGACCCAGTTTGTTGCATACGCAGCTGGAAATGTCCAAAACTATTGTTAAAAAAGATACAAACAAGGATGGAAATTTCCAGAACTTGTGTTAAGAAAGACCCTGTTTGGTTGCTACAAAAAGGGCTGGACATATCCTTCACTTCTGTTAAAAACAAAACAAAACAAAACAACAGCTGCTTCTATTAATAAACACAGCTGGACATGTCCTAAACTGTTGTTAAAGAAAGAACTGCTTTGCTGCAAACACGGATGGAAATGTCCCAAACTCTTTTTAAAAAAGACCTACTTTTCTTGCTACAAAAACTTGTGAACCAAAGAAAGACTTGGTTCGGTCACTATAAACAGGGCTGGGCAAATACCTAACCCGGTAACACCCACTTCTGTTCACAAACAAGGATGGACATGCCCTGAACTGTTGCTAAAAAATAATGGCTTTTGTCACCAAACATGGCTGTCCTGACGTCTCAAAAAAAAATCCCACTTTTGTTGCTGAAAAACCGTTGAAACTGTCCCAAATGCTTGTTTAAAAAGACACTGTTTGTTTGCTACAAGCATGGCCGGAAATGTCCCAGACCCTTGTTAAAAAGAAAACCCCAAACATGGCTATACATATCCTGAACTCCTGTTGAAAAATATCCACTCTTATCTGTCTTAACCTGTGGTCTGCTGCTGTCTGCTGCCTTGCTGTCTTGACTAGGTCTCATGCCATTCTCCATCCACTTTTCCTGATGAGGAATTCAGCTCATATACATGTAATCAGAGCCACTTCACTTTAGATATGCGGATATGACACGTATGAAACATACAAATGTGACACATCTGTGGTTTGCAGAAACATACAATACAATGAACTTTTTATTCTGGTGACTGGAATGATATTAGATACAAGTTTCCAAACAAAAACAACCACTCTAATGAGTTACTTAGTCTCAAATTGAGTCTTAAAATCTGGTTTTCCAAAAGCAAGTCAAAGAGATTTGCCAGTAAAAATGGGTAATTTCACTTGTTTATAAAACAAATCAGCTTAATTTTAAAAAAAATCTTGATAATAGCGCAGCAATCTGTCTGATTCTGTTTTGTGTGAAGACAAAAGGAAGCTTCAGCAGAAACAACTGAACTTATCTCAACCCAAGTTTTGCTTGTTGTAAGAAAAAAATAAGCTTTAAAGCCTCCTAATGAGACAAAATTGCTTGTTAAGTTGATTTCTGCAGAGAGGAAAAAGATGTGAGGAGCACTTTAAACGATCGTCCACATCTATTAAACCTCACAGTGGCTTTTTGTGTTGGAAATAAACATGCATGTAGAGCCTTTCACTCCATAATGCAACAAAAATGCGCATTCAAAGGTGGCTCACTCCCACACAAAGATAAAACTCTTAATAGTACTGAGACCGGTCTGAACCAGTTCTTCATCACCACCTTATCTGCAGCCGTTTTGCCCCAGATGCCCTTCATCATGCAAATATTAAATGGAAAACGTCTCATTTATCAAGCATGGTGCAAAAACCACTCTGCAGGGAACATTATTAATAACGCATTATCTAAAACATTTCAACTCTAAATGGGAAAGAACTGAGCAGCATTTCTGCGCTAAAAGATAAAAATCCAGAATTAATTTGACCTTCCAGGTTTGGGGTGTTTTTAGTTTGATGCGTAAATTTAAATGAAGTTTCTTTTTAACCCAGTCTTATTAAAAACAAGAGTATTTTACTCTGGCATTTGTTAATAACTATAATTACACTTTATTATATTAATTATAGCAATTGTAATAATTAAACTTGCAAATGTTGCCAGTCCTGACACTCTGTGCATGAAAAGCAGGCTCAGTCTTACCCTCACACTGTGATAAAGCCATTAATGGTGTCAGTGTTTGAGCAGAAAGTGACATAATGACAACCGATAGAGCTTTCTGACACAGTTTTGCTGCGGTATGACTCATTGTTGGCTCATGACAAACTAAAGTGTTAGTGATGCTTACATTAACATTTCACGCTTTGTTTGTGGTCTATTAATGCAAGAAAAGAGTCTAAAATCCCCAAG